AAATCTGAAAAGTCATGCAAAGATCAGGGCACTTGACACCATCTGTGCCAAGGTAATTTCTAATCTCGGTGGTCCCCAAAAGAAATAAATAATGCTAAAATTGAACAAAAATCGAACAAAATGAATAGTACTATGGGGAGAACGATTTGAACAGAATTCTCTGACTAATTACGACAGAGCTTGAAACCGATCGAAAAAAATTATATGGAACCGGTCGGAAATGAGAAGATCAAAAGAAAGGTTCTATCTGAAAAAATGGAAGTCCGATTCGGAAAAGCATAATAAATTTGGGTTCGGAAAAGTATACACCCGATTCGGAAAAGTACGATTCGGAAAAGTATCGATTCGGAAAATCCCGGTTCGGAAAAGTATCGGCCAGTTTTCGGTTACTGTAACTTTGTGATTGCATAGATGATTCACATATTTTTTTTTGTGATGAAAAAGGGAAAAAGGTAGAAAAATATCTACAAAAAGATTACATCCAAAGATATGGCCGATAAACTTTCGTAACTTTGCTCGAAAAATAGCTCCAGTTTTTTAGTTGTTGTAGCTTGATTTCATCGGTCAATGACTAATCTTTCATTTAGTCAACCCTGAAAAATCAGAAATATTTCAGTCATATTCAATTTTTGCTGGATTTCCTCAAAACAAAGAGGATGAAGACAGAGACTGCTATGACAGTCTTCAGAGCTCATTACTAAAGATTAACCAGGGACTTCGATCAAGAAAATCGCTTTTTTTCAGTCGTTTCAGGCCTCTTTCAACAGTCGATGGCAATCCTTCTAGCCGCGTAGAATCAGATTCTATCCAGGTGCTTAAATTTGAAAGTCAGAAGTATTCCGACTGAATCCAATTGTTGCAAATGTCTCCCTGAAAAGTCAATTTGAGCAATTTCTCAATGCTTTGAAATGACCATAACGCACCGTAACAAATGAAAAAAATAGATCGGGTGGGATCGATTTTGCAGATTCCAGTCCAGACAAACTGAAAACTTTGATTGGACTATGAAAAACCAAAATGAAGCTTGAAGCTCCAATTGAAAATGTTTTTGCAGTCCTTATATCTTTGGATTGATATTTTTTTATCTTTTTTTCCTTTTTTTCATCACAAAGAAAAAAATATAAGTGAATCGTCTATCCGATCAAAAAAAGTTACAGTAACCGAAAAAGTATTGTGTCTTTCTTCTGAGACTCACAGATCTTTGGTTTGGTAAGTCGGTATCTCCGACTTCATTTTTCGCTTTTTCGTTAATTTACAATCGGTTGCACTGTGGTGCCATGAGCTGGTCACCCTGCGAGCCTAGAGGAAAAAAATGGCACCAAAGATCCAAAAATAAGACCAAACAAACAAGTCTAAAATATTTTTAAATATTAGGCTCAGTTTTTCGTCGATTTTCTTTCTGAAAAAAATCCCTGCATAAAAAAATAATTAGGTTTTTTTCAATCTTTTATTTGGTCGACCTTCAAAAAAATCAGGAATATTTCAGTCATATTCAATTTTTTTGCTGGATTCCCTCAAAACAAAGAGGATGAAGACAGAGACTGCTATGACAGTCTTCAGAGCTCATTACTAAAGATTAACCAGGAACTTCGAACAAGAAAATCGCTTATTTTTTTCAGTTGTTTCAGGTCACTTTTACCAATCAATGGCAAACCTCCTAGCCGTTTAGAATCAAACTCCATCTGGGTCTTTGACCTAAAGATTTGAGATTACAATTGAATCCAATTATTGCTAACCTCTCCCCGAAAAATTTGAGAATTTGTCCCATGCTAGAAGTGACTATTACGCCAAATAACAAGTAGAAACAAAGAAGGTCAGCGAGGATTCATTTTGCAGATTCCGATCCAGAAAAAGTGATTTTGCAGCTCTTCTAACTTGAAATAACTCGAGAGAAAACTAGAGTCTCGAAAAGAATGACTAGAGCAATGTATATCCCTGACGGAAGACAGGTTTCGTCTCAAATTAATGAAAATTGAAAAATGTGCTGTCATGTGATAAGATCAGAACCGCGAGTCTATGATGGAAAATCAGAAAAAGTTTATTCAAACCCTTTCAAAGCTGATTTTTGACCTCTGAGAAATCAGATTTTCATCATTTTGCAAAGCTTTGATTGGACTATGAAAAGCTAAAATATATATACTTTTGCAGCCTTATGAAATTTCAACATAATGACACAAAATTTAGGTCTCCCGAATTCCCCTTTATTGAAAAATAATTTCGATATTTCTAGGCACCTCCCTCCTTTTTGTATTCTTCAGAAACTTTTTTTCTCAACCAATTTCAAACTGTTATCAAACGCATTCGGCAAATAGCGACCAAGTATTTGAAATTATGAATTTCCATCTCCAGGTCACAAATCTTTTTGAGGTGAAGCTGGAAGCTCCAATTGAAAATGTTTTCGCAGTCCTCATATCTTTGGATGGAATCTTTATGTAGATACTTTTCTACCTTTTTCTCTTTTTCATCACAAAGAAAAAAAACATGAGAATAATCTATCGGATCACATAGTTACAGTAACCGAAAAGTATTGTGTCTTTCTATTGAAACTCACAGATCTTTGGTTTGGTGAGTCGGTATCTCCGACTTCATTTTCGCTTTCCGTTAATTTACAATCGGTTGTAAAGCACTGTGGTGCCATGAGCTGGGTCATTCTGCGTGCCTGTAGGAATAATGACACCAAAGATCCAAAATAAGACCAAACAAACAAGTCTAAAATATTTAGAATATTAGGTCTGTCTCAGCTCATTTTGGTTAATTTATTTGTAGTGTTTTGCATTTTGAAAATATATTTCGCTACTTTTATTTCAAAAAGAAGAAATTTAATTTTTTTTTTTTGATTCTTAAAATTCATTCTGAGATGCACTATCAAAAAGAATAGACCAATCTGAATCTAATGAGACTTTTTTGGACCTCCCAGCTTAATTTTTGAGGGCAAGGGCATACTGTATGCGCCTTTAATTGCGCCAAAAAACTCGCAGTTTCGCGGGCAACGGTTTTCGAAGCTCTCTTTTTTCTTTCATTTTCTTTCATTTTCTTTCTTTTTTCTATCGTTGCTTCTTCTATCAATTTCATTATATTTGTATGCATCTCTCTGCTAATTTCTCAAGTTTTTTTGTATAATATTTTTTTGATTATCCTAATTTTTTTGTGCTCTAGTTGGGTAGAAAAAAAGATTCTCGCAAATATTCTTTTAATTCTTTCTGATCATATTTTTCTGAAATTTGGAGTCATTATTAGCATGATGAAGTTAAAAAAAAATACTTTTTTTAGACAGAGAATAGCGCAAAAATCACGGGAAGTTTTTTCGATAGAGACGGAAAAATTGAATATAAAAAAACCAAAGCGCCTACAATCCGTTTTTTTTTGTTTGGCATATATTAAGATCATTTCAAACTTAGTCAATAACATAATATTCGTATATCTATTTAATTTCTAAAAACTTTTTTTCGACTAAGAATATTTTTTTCCTTCGATTTTTTTAAATGTCAAATTTCGCTCTACCTATTCAAAAAAACTTCTTTTTTACAGCTAGTGTTCAAATTTAACAAATCAGAATGTCTTTTTTTGAATAATTCATCTCAGTCTACAGTCTCTATCTTTGATTTTTTTTTCTAACGATTTTTTTTTTGTTTTTCTGACAATCTGAATTTTTTTCACAAAAAAGGCCTAGAGAAACCCGATCAAATGAAACAACACTAAAATCTCTCTGAAAAGATTAAGATATTTCTTCGAGACTTCCTTTTTGAAACTTTCCGGTTAACTTTCAAATTTCGAACTCAAATTTTTTTTTCTTGACTTTTCTCGGGGGATTTTCTGTAGGAAAGATTTCTGATCTTGTTCAAAATTTTTTTGCAAATTTCTACATAACTTTTTGGTTCAGTCACCTTATTTTTCCTCCAGAAGGGTCAGTGGGCGTGTCTGACCAGCAAGCACGACTTGAGCCAATAAAGTGGGCGGTTCTCTGGTATCTTCATTTTGGTGTCGTTCTTCTGTCGTGAGCGGTCGGTCGAAGTTGGGCTCTCCAGCCTCTGCTGGGCTGGAAGGCCCGATTTCCGCCACGCCTCATCGTATTTTGTCCTTTTCTGCTACTTGGTCTCCATCTCTTTCATTTTTTGCTCAGTTTCAAAAAAAAATCACAAAAAACGCTCTTTTTTTTCATTTCTCGAAAGCTGTCGTTATTCTGTTCCCCCACTGTTTTTTTGTCCTATTCTTCTACTTTGCCACAATTTCTTCATATTTTTTGCTCAGTTTCAAATAATCAAACTAATTCACTTTATTTTTGCTCGCGTTAAAAAAATCACAAAGGAAGTTCCTTGCAATTTTTTTCACTGGTTTTATCGTTTTTTTCTTGAATAATCTCCCTTTTCGTTATGAATGATAGGATTCATAGAAAAAAAGCGAGATTTATTATCTATACTTTGCATTAACTAAAAGAAGAGTAGTTTTGCAAAAAAGTTCTGTTTCCTTGGGAATTTTCACTAGTAGAAAATTCCATCAAAAGCAAATATTCAAATCTTCAAAAAGTCTATCGATCATATAAAAGCAAATTCTAAATTAAAATTTTGAAGGCTTATCTCTTTTTATTCACTCATGAATCACTTTTAAAAACGTTTATTTCGCATGGTTTCGGGTTGTTTTGTGGTTGGTTACTCAGTATATTCACCTTGTACACGTTTTTTTCCTCTAATCTGCTGTTCTCAAACGTAATTTCAAAATAAAAAAATCATTAAATGTTTTGAAGTTTTATTGAGAAAAAAACCCCACCTGAAAAATTTTCTATAACAAAAAAAGATCATATTTCGAAAAGGATTCAGTCTCGAAAATCCTTACGAACCAGTTGGACGGAATTTCTCGAAAGTCAAAAAGATCTTCCTTTTTGACAATTTCTGGCTTCTCAGTTATTTAGTGTTTGCTGTTCCCTTCATTTACTATTTTTTTCTTCGCTCAAAAAAATTTTAATTTTTTTCAGCTCGTTTGAAAAAGCTTCATCAAGCAAAAAAATGGGAAGATACGGTCAGTTTTTTCTTGTTGAGCTAAATTAAATGAAAAATTTTCAGGGCTCGACAGTTTTGACGACTCGATATCTTTGGATCCGGCGACTATCAACGCGAACGCTGTGAACGGTCCAGTGGAACCTGCCGACGGCTCTGTCGTCGGCAGGCCCACCTCTGGAGCTGCCAGTAAGTTGCTTTGAAGATTCCGCGTAGGCGTCATCATGATATCTAATAAATTTTTGATTTTCTATTGATTGAAGCTTTCAAATCAATATAAGAATTCTTTTTGATCAGGCGACCAAAAAATTATGTTGATGATTGATAGCTGGATTTAAATTTACATTCTGAAGTTGTAAACGCGAAATTTCAGCCGCGACATCGCAGGCGATAAAACTTGTCTCAGCCGGCCCTGCTCATAAACGTCTCAAACTCGACGAAGCAGTTTATTCTGGTGGTAGGTATCTCATGTGGGGCTCTTTGCGACACGTTTCTTTAGAACAACATTTTTTGAAATCGCAGTGGATTCAGCTGCCTAGACTAGCTTTTCAATTTTGAGAGACATATTTTCAGCCACGCGGAACAACGTCGGCTCACTGGTTATTCGGCCGAACTCGGAAGGCAACTTCGTCATTCAAGTCGGTGAGATTTTTTAGAATGTTCGAAAGAATATATAAATTCAAGAAAATGAATAACTTTCATACTTATTTTCATTGCAGATGCACCGGTCCCACCACCATACATCTATGTCAATGGCAAACGCTATCGCCGCGAGGATGAAGAAGTAGAGAATGAAGTGGGCTTGACCGAACCGGCGGCTCTGACTGAGGATTATTTTAACTCTCCTCCAACGGGTGCGTTTAAAACTAAAACTGAAAGGCACTTTTCGCATCTCGAAATGAATAAAAAAGAAAAAAATAATACATTTTTGTCATTAAGTGAGGTTGATTTAATGCTTTGATCCAATTTATCGATATTTAAAAGTTATGAAAACTTTGAACTGTAGGATCATATCTTTGAAATACATTTTTTGATTGAATTCAGATCAAAAGGGTCGAACTTTCAAATTTCGAAGACTTTTGGCGTTAAATTTTATCGGAACTTTTGAAATTCAGAAGAAAGCAAGTACTACACGGCCGCGGACTTCCTAAACGAAACGTCGGACGGATCACCTGCCGACGCCATTCATGGCGCCGGCAGGCCCACCAATTTCTCTCTCCTTGTGGCGTCGCTTTCCACCGGTGAGTGGCTTGAAAAATCTCAACATTCCAAGTCGAAAAACTCTCAGTATGAAGTAAACTTTCCTGAAAAACCTTACCTTAGGTAGAGTTTATATTTATTCGAAACAAAAGCGTTTCTCATAAACTTCTGAAAATTCTTAATATCATTCAGAGAAAGCTTCAGCTAAAAAAACTTCTGTTTTCACCGAAAATTTTTTTGTTGAAAGTTCAAAAAAATTTCGAGTGTATTTCAAATATGAAAAATTTTAGAAACGCTCAAAAATCGGCGAACCTTTGATGACTTCGACCCCGAAAAAGAAAGACAAGCTTCGTTTCCGAGATCCAGCCAAGACTCGATTTTGACACGATGTTGGATTCGCACATGGTAAATTCATCAAAATCAGTTTTCGATTTGCACCAAAAATCTGCGAAATATCCTTGGAAAAAGTTATTAGCATCAGTAAGAAGAAAAATTTTGAAAAAAAGTGGCATTTTGAACTGCTGGAACGTCTTGAGAAACCTTGGAGATTTTAATTTGGCATATAATATTTTTAACTTTTGATGATCTTAAATAACTGAGTACTGTGGTATCTAACACCAAAAATCTGTTATAGTGGCTAATTTTCCTCAGTCTGTTTATTGATCTATTCACTTTCAGCCGCAAACTGACGTCGACAATTAAACCACCCCGAAAGCAATAAAAGGTATAAATCCACGGATATTTTTCGCATATAACTTGTTAATTTTCAGACCGTTCAACTGTACCATTATTTTGTTCGCCTTTTCCTTTTCGCGACCTCAACGGTGTAACCCAACTTCTCTCAACTTATTTGTATGGCCGTTTTCGTGATTTTCACGGTCATTGTCTTTTTTTCTCATTTTCGTGATTTTCACGGTCATTGTCTTTTTTTCGCACAGTTGGTCATAACAAACTTTTTAAATTTTTAATTGATTCACTGCAATCAAAATGAAACAGTTCAACAGAAGCAACAGAAATGAATTTCCAAAAGCAATCGTAAAAAAAAGTTCTCTCGGCGCACTTTTCTCGATCTTCTGGTCCTCTGAATTCGCCTTTGAACTCTGCCTGAACCTTCTGAACACCTTCTACTTCGGCGATGTCTCCTATGAACCACGAGATTCTCACCGAGATCAGACAGAAAAACGCAAGAAAAAAACTCTGCACAAGCAATGATTACTGGAAACTTTTTCAAACTCACAATGAGACTTCTAAATTAAGTTGAACTCATATACAGTTTTTTTACACTGCATTCCATTATTTCTGCGTGTCATGAAACAGTTTTTAAAACAAATGGACCAAATTTTTTTTGGGGGTCATTAGTAACATCACGACTTGTATACCAAAAAAACGATACCGATGTCCCAAGGAGATTATTTGCAAGTTCAACTATTGAATTGCATGAATTTCTATAGCAAAAACGTAGATCTTTATTGAGAAAAAAATTTGCTCAATTACATTAAAAAGCGTCGAATTTTCGTCACTCTTCTCGATGTTCTGGTCCTCTGAGTTCGCTTCTGATCTCTGTCTGAACTTCTGAACACCTTCTAATCCGTCGATACTTCTCATGAACTATAAGAATCTCACCGATTAGACATTAAACGCAAGAAAAAACTCTGCATAAGCAATGATTACTGGGGAATTTCCTAAGGCACAGTGAGACTTCTAAATTAAATGGAACACAGATACTATTTCTCAGACAGTCCCAAGCAAATAACTGCAATCTCAATCGATTCAGAAATTGTCGACGAACAGCAAGAATTTCTGTTGTAAAAACGTAGAAAAATTGTTGTAACAAAAAAATTTTTTTGAGGCGTTTCCTTCTCTTGAAACGACATTTTAAGGGTCAAAATATAATCCAATGCCCGCGGAAAGCAGCCGGAAGAATTTTAAAACCGAATGATCTTAGTTATTATTTTCCAAATAAGCGTTTTTTCCATACGACCGCCGTCTTTTCAAGCCTTCCAGCTGTTTTTCCATGCATGTCGGCTTTTCGTGTTTTGTATAGGGATCTGCGAACGGCTCATTAAGAGAAGTGCACTGGTTTCTGGGTCTTCAAATGAGTTATTTTCCTTTGAACTTTTTTTTTTATTTTGAAGATTGGCTTCTGAAAGTTTCGTAATGAGAAGTTCAACTTGGAAAACTTTTCAAGGATCGAAAAACTGACGAATTTCGAAGAAAATAGTTTTTTTGCGAAACTCTTAACAAGTTTTCACGAATAAATTATCCAATTTAATTTCAATTTCAATTCAGTTTCAATTTTTAATTTTCAATTTATTCAGAGTAAGATGTAGAAGATCTCTGCGGAATCATGGTATAATCGAAGAGTTAGTCGTCGGCGCGGGTTCCGGTCCACAACCGTTGTCCAATAAGTCTCGAAGAATAATGTGGGCTCGTTTATAGTACCAGCGAATTAACTGCTTCACCATGTTGGAACATTACAGCGCCCAGCTAGTCCAGAGCCGACAGGCGTCGGAATATTAACTCATGAGAAAAGGAGACCGACTAGTCTACGTGATGAATTGAAATAATAATAATAAATGGTCCACTATTCCAATGAGCTTTAATTGTTTTTTGTCTGTATCTCAAGCCAATAAACATTACTATCCGTATCGTTTCTTCATTTTTGGAAATTAATACGGAAATACACAAAAATAGTATTTTCTCCCTTTTTCCGTGTGGAATATGAGACGATTCTGATTGACTGGACGACTTCCACAAAGACACGCTCAGAACTGATGTCAGGATGTTTTTCTGATAACCTTCGCCTGTAGGGCCACGTTTAACCTAAATAGCATTCAAAAATGCGCGGTTGTGTTAATTAGAACACGTAGAGAACACGTAGGGCTCGTGTCTAGGTTTCTCCAAGATTCCCATGCTCTTTAGTCATTTTTTTTTCTTGGACAGCGCGTCCAAACACGCACTCTCCGCGTTTTTCATGCTCTCTAACTTACGCGCCCGCGCATGTTTGAATGCTGTTTACGTAACACGTGGCCCTACAGGCAAAGGTCATCAGAAAAACATCCTGACATCAGTTCTGAGCATGTCTTTGTGGAAGTTGTCCAGCCGAACAGAATCGTCTCATATTCCACTGGTTTGGATAGATTCGAATGCCCCAGAAAACTGAATTTTTCTGCAGACGTCATCGTAATCTCTTTGTATTGTATTCATGTCTACAATTCATTCATATTTCTTTGAATTTCTGATGGGAAAGGTTCGGTTATCTTTCCTCTTGACTTCAATCTTTTGTTCGTTGCAGGTTCAACTAAACGATGTACAAGTTGACCGTACTCGGCGTTGATTTACGCAACCGGGGACGTGAATTGTTTTTCATTGCATAAAAAGAACCTGAGAATGGGGGGAAACTTCTCAAAAATGCTCGCGGAACAGTCGCCCATAACCTTGAGTGAAGGTATAACTTTTTTTAAATGCACTCAGCTTCAACAAGAAATAAATTAGTTCAATCAAATTTGATAAAACTATTTCACATAGAAAGATTTTTGGTACAAATCAGATAAAAAAAGCTGCAAAAATTATTGTCGCGGTCTTCTTCTTTTCAATTTTTTTCGAAGTTGAAAAATCGTTTCGGCGAATATTTGAAATTTCAAAATTCAAAGTTTGTCGGAGGGAAAAATATGAAGAATCCTTTATCGTTTTTCCTCGCTGGGGTTTGGGAATATTTCTGAGCCTCCTCAAGTTCTCTCTATTCTTCATAGCTTCAGTTTAACTTTCGGAATCTCGCTCGGTAAATTGCTTCAGATTCTCAGATGCTGTAACTCGACTGTTTTCAATCAAAGGCTAATTTTCCAGTTGGTCAGCCTGGAAAAATCAGAACTATTTCAATTATAATCAATTATTGCTCCCTCCAAAAAAAGAAAAAGAATGGATAAACTCAGATAAACCGTTATGATTATATCCAGGTGCTTAAAGTTGGAGGTAAATAGTTTTCCGATTGAATTCAATTTTTGCTAACTTCTCTCCAAAAAATGAGTATAGGACAAAAGCGCCGATTCCAAGAGCGCCGTTCAAATTTAGCGCCAGTCCGCAATGCGCCGTCGCGTGTATGCGCCGTGTATGCAGACGCCGCTTTCTTTTGCGCCGAGTCCGTTTGCGCCAAATCGTTTTGCGCCGTTATTTCAAACTTTTATTTATTCGCTCTTTTTATATTATTTATTCATAATTGTTTACTACACATTCATATAAGACTCGAATAATTTTCGCGCCATCCGTTAATGATGAGTTTTAGGTCCACCTTGGTCCAGGTAAAATATTTTTTTCCTCTTTTTTTCTTTTTCAAAGTAAAAAAATAAAAAAAGCAAATATGCTTTTTCTGATTTCGAAAAAAATACAGAAAAACGAAAGGAAAAGAGAATGGATAAAAATTATTGGTTTAAACGACATATTGAGTGATTTTTTTGTGATTGCAAATTTTCTGCGTTAGTTAAGGCAAAAGTTTTTTTATTCTAGCAGACGTGAAACAGCAGAAAAATCGTTTTTTTCGTAACGTTGAACTCAATTTCTTGAAACAATAGTTCGAGTTTTTTTCGAAAAATGCGGCGGAAAAAGTCCATATTAACAGATGGCGCGAAAAATTATTCGAGTTGTATATGAGTGTGTACTACACAATCAATAAACAATGATAGAAAAAAGAGCGGAAGAATAAAAGTTTGAGATAACGGCGCAAAACGATTTGGCGCAAACGGACTCGGCGCAAAAAGAAAGCGGCGTCTGCATACACGGCGCATACACGCGACGGCGCATTGCGGACTGGCGCTCAATTTGAACGGCGCTCTTGGAATCGGCGCTTTTTGTCCTACACTCCAAAAAAATCGTTTGAGAAATTTGTGAGATCGCTTTGAAATGAAGCACCGTAAGAAATGAAAAAAAGAAAAAAATCAGCTGGGATCCATTTCGCAGCGCTCGAAGCTTTCAGTATTCACCTGACTAACAAAAGGTTCAATCCAGAAAAAACTGATTTCGCCGCTCTTATAACGTGAAGTAGTCCATGAAAAAAACTAGAGTCTCGAAAAAAATATGACAGGAGCAGTTTATGTCACTATCGAAAGACAGATTTTTGTCTCAAATTAATGAAAAATAAGAGAATGAGCTTTTTGTATAACAAGATCAAAAACCACGTGTTTTTCATCAAAAAAATCAAAAAAATGGAAGTTTATGAAAAAAACTATGAAGAAAAAGCTTCGATTCAAACTCTTTCAAAGCTGATTTTTGACTCCAGAGAAAATGAGGTTCTCAAATAATCAGAAAGCTTAGATTTGACTATGATAGACCAGAATAATCTTATTTTTGCAGCCTCAAGGGATTTTGACATCGTTATAAAAAATTATGTCTTCAAAATTTCGTTCTATTGAGAAAATTGTTCCCGCATTTGGATATTTCGAGGTACTTCTTTCCTTTTTGTATTCTTCGGACGCATTTTTTGCTCAACTGATTTTTCCGAACTGTTATAAAACGCATTCGGCAAATAGCGACCAAGTCTTTGAAGATATGAATTTTCACTTCCAGTTCACAAATCTTTCTAAAAGTGAAGCTGGAAGCTCCAATTGAAACGGTTTTTGCAGTTCTCATATCTTTGGATGTAATCTTTTTGATATTTTTCTACCTTTTTCCCTTTTTCATCACGGAGAAAAATATGTGAATCATCTATCGAATCACAAAGTTGCAGTA